CAGAGTCACGGGATGTCCTGAGCTGGAAGGACCCACAAGGGTCATCGAGTCCAACTGCTGGCCCTGTACAACCCCCAGCAATCCCACCTGGCACGCTCCATGTTGGCTTTGTGGGTGGCAACCAGGAAAGACCTTCAGAGGGGTTTGGAGCTCCTCATCCCTGCCCATTGCTCCTCAGAAAGGGACATCCTGAGGCCCCTGGGCACAATTAGCTGAGTGTGCTCCTCCTTCATCCTGCAATGCCCAGAGAGAACACCGTCAGAGGCGCCAGATCTGCCGGAACCCCCAGCTGAAAGCACAGCCACGGCCACAGCATGGTCTGCCAGCAGGATTTGTGCACCAGGAATGGGGATTTCAGCCCTGGGACTGAGCTATTTGTAGGGGACTTTTTTTGCCTGGGTCTGGTCCTGCAGCCAGCAACCAGTTCATGGCTGGGATGAGCTGTCAGGGATCAGGGTCTCCCTTTGCCCCAAGCCCACTCTGTAAAACCCCATCCCCAGCTGAGCTGTGCTGTGTCCTTGCTATTCCAACCCCCTTCAGGTTCATCCCTTCTTCCCAGAGCATCGAGAGATATTGGGGGCTCTCTCATGTGCCTAGGCCATGTCTCTTCTTTCCCTCACTTTGATGTTCTTGCTGTTTTTCTTGGGTTTCTCTTCCAAGCTGGAGCCTCTACCTGGATCCAGGAATACCAGCAAGTTACAGCTCAAGCAGTGGTGAAATTAATTTTCTTTGGGAAAAAAAGAAAAAGAAGTGTAGGAACAGAACATTGGAAAATAAAGATTTAGACTGGTAATTGAGATAAAAGCTCATCTCCCAGTGCTTGTTCAGTAAATGCTGGGTTATTGCTAATTCCCCAGATGCTGGTCACTACCAGGAGTTAATCACCTGCAGTGAAGCTCAGGGTAGTTAACTGCCTGACAAATCCCTCCTTAGCCACAGCAGTGACTGATTTCATGGGGATTATCTCCATTAAAGCCTCCCATCTAATGATTTATAGCTGCAATAACAGCCTTCTCCTTTTTTCCCTCTCCCAGTGACAATGGTGCGAGGAGGTGCCATGGCAAGCTGGGAAGGAAAGTGCTGGATGTCTCAGTGGCCACAAAAGCTTTGCTATGCCAGGCAGACCTGGCATCCCTCCTGGAAGCTGTCCCAGGGCTGGGGACACTCGTTCCTTTGCACTTTAAGGATGGTGGGAAGCAGAGCTGCTGCCCCAGGGGGACACAATCTGTCCTCTGCTCCTCCTCCTCCTCCTCTGCTGTGCCACACAGGCCCTGGCAGACTTATAAGACCTTACTCAGATATCTGGTGTTTGCATCTCCTGCCTTTCATAATCTGGCAATTTTTTTATAACTGGTGTTGACTTTAATTTAAACTATTAGGCAAACTCCTGAATGCAGATGCAATCACATCCTCCCCCAGTGCGTGCGCTCACCACGTTAATTATGATGTCCTCATTTCCATCTCGCTGGGGGATCTTATCACACTGGTGGGGCTGAGCTGAGCTTTGGTTCATAAAACTGCTGCAACCCCCTGAACTGAGAGCCAGCAGTGCCTGGGGTGTGCACGGTGCCCGTGCTCCTGAACCAGTGGTGCCCCTGTCACAGACATCCCCTCCTGCCCTGCCTGGGACCGAGGTGAAGCAGAAAAACCCCTCCAGTCATGGGGATTCCTGATGCAGATCCTTCCTTCTCCCTTCTGGTACCTAAAAGGGCCTAGAAGAAGGTTGGAGAGGGACTTTTTGCAAGGTTAGGCAGTGATAGAATAAGCTTTAAGCTGAAGGAGGGTATATTTGGGTTGGATATTGGGAAAAAATTCTTCCCTGTGAGGGTGGGGAGGCCCCTGCCCAGAGCAGCTGTGGCTGCCCCATGATCCCTGGCAGCGCCCAAGGCCAGGTTGGACGGGGCTTGGAGCAGCCTGGGATAGCGAAAGGTGTCCCTGCCCATGGCAGGGGGTTGGAACAAGATGGTCACTGCCAACCCAAACCATTCTTGGATTCTGTGATCCCAAATGCCCTGCAACTCCTGGGACCTGGCAGGGACCACGGGGCCTTGGTTGCCCCGTGAATCTGTGGCATCTGAGCCAGGAGCTCAGGTAGCCTTGCCCCGTCCTTAGAGCACCTTCCCTGCAGGCCGAGCGTGGTGTTTTGGGCTGAGGCACCTGGGGCAGAACTGACAGAACTTTCCCAAATGTAAAACTCTCCAAATTCACCCCCGGGGGTGGAGGTGTGGCTGCTGCTGGCTGGTGCTCGGAGGTGGGCATTTTTATCTCCTGCTCTGCCATCAGGGAGCCTGCTGCCAGCCCTGGCACTGCCGCGGCCTGCGGGACATGGCAGCAGTGAGCTCCATCTCCCCCGCCAGATCTGGGAGAGGATTGAATGCCTGGAGACCGAAACCAGCCAGATGAGCTGGAGCCAAAGCAATTTGATGCACACAAAAACCTCATCTTTCCCTTGCCAGACCCTCGTGGAGAGCGCTGAGGCCACGGGCAAGGCCGAGGGGAGCTGGCTGCGCACCCTGGGCACATCCTGGGCACAAACCCTGCTCGCCCCGTGTGTCTCCTCCCGTGCACAGCTCGGCTCCTCTTCCCCCGGGAAACTCAGCAGGGGAACGACAGGAAACAGATGTTGTGTTAATTTGTGCTCGATTAATTTCGACAGCGGCTCCCAGCCCCCGGGAAGCACCGCCGCAGCAGCAGCCGGAGCACAAGTGGGTGTGGGGCCAGGGCTGGGTTGTTCCAGGTGCTGCACACAATTCCAGCACCCCAAGCAGCAGGACAGTGTCCTGGGTGGCCCAGCAGCCTCGGCAGGCTGTTCCCTGGGCTTGGGAAGCTGAGGGGCTCTGCCCTCATCCCTCCAGCCAAGCACACCCAGGGCCTGGCCCCACTTCCATGTTGTCCACCGGCGTGCAGGGCATGTTCCCAGTGATCCCAGGACAAACCTGGGCATTTCTGGAATTCAGAGGGCAACTTTTTAAGATGCATCACAAAACATTTTTCTTCCCTGGGAATGGTTTGACTTCGACCCCCTTTGCCAGCATATTCCCCTTAAAATGAACTTCCATTGTAGTTTGCACCTGGAGCTGCTGCCTTTTCTGGGTTGCTTTAAGCTCTTTACAGAGAAGCAGAGTTTCCTCCTAAATGCAGGAGAAAACTGGAGATGCTGGAGAAAGCTGAAGATGTTCATGACTGCAGGGACTGCTCTGATCACCCTCAGACGAGCAGAAGGCAGCACAACACCTCCCCAGGCGCAGCAGGTCAGGGAGGTCAGATGAGGAAGGGCATTCCCATCTGAGAGGGGAGAAGGGAGTGGGCTGTCTTACAGGTATCACTCATACCTCTTTCCTGTCTCATGCTCTGGAGGTGTGCTGCCCTCTCCTAGCTGTGCCCTGTCCCTGCACAGCTGGCAGTCACACAGCGAGGCTGTGTCCCAGGGATCCTTGTCAGCTCCCACATCTCTGGGGTGAAGGCTGCAGGCTCTCCTCCTTTGACCTGAGCATCCTTCTCATGGGCCTGCTGTTGGTTTTGTGTCTAATGGAACACAAGAAAACACCATTTTCGCCCTGTCAGAGCAAGTCTAGAGGTTTATTTTAATGTACTTATAATGCTGCCTGAAATACTTGTTTTCCTGCTCTGTGCAGCACGGCTGGGGATTTACTTGGCTTCCCCAAGCCCCACAGACAGCCGGGTACACACAGGTGCCGAGGTGGGGGGCTGCTCCCTGCCAGCTTCCAGGCAGAGCCAGGACCCTAGGAAGGTGCAGGACAGGGATACTGAGGCTGAGGAAGGTGGTGATGATTTGGAAGGCGGAGGAGCAGGAGTGCCAGTGGCTTCCCCAGTTTCTGCAGCACTGCATCTGAGGCTGCACCTCACAGCTGGACTTGGGCATGGCGTGGGACTTCAAAGCCTGTTTCTAAGTCTGGGGAAAAGCCAGGTGGTTTGAAGTTCTCCTCTGCTCCTCTTCCTCCTCCCCTTCTCTCCTGTGTATTCAGGGGTCCCAGACCCGTCCATGGGGGTGTCATTGGAGAACCTGGTTTGAGCAGAAATGTGAGCTGAAGAGGCAGTGGGAAGTCCTGAGAGCAGCGAAAGCCTGGTGAGGCACTTGGTGAGAGTGGAGAGGGAGATGTGAGGCAAGGCTGAGCCCCCAGAAGTGTCACGTAGCCCCCAACAGCTGAGTTCTACTTGTCCCTCACCTATGGAACTCACACCCAAAATATCCCTACTTCTTCTCACTTCTTATCACTTAAATCCACTTAGCATCCTTCCCTTGTGTGACACCCATGTCCCTGTCCCTCTAAACTCACCCAGACCACCCTCCATTGCAATCCTGCTCAGGATCTCCTCCCCAGGTTCACACTGCAGCCACAGGTACATGGCATTTTCACCCCTTTTTCAAGCCATGATGGTCCCAGTTCCCAGAGCCAGCCCTGATCCAGTGTCTCAGCTGGGTTGGGCACTGAGGAGCCACTCTGGCATCACCTTGCAGGGAGGGAGGGACCTCTGAGCCCCCATGGCTCCACATTTCTCGCTGACAGTCCTGTGCTCAGTACGTGCTTCCCCTTCACCCTCTTCTCTCCACCCTGAAACTCCTTCTCCAGATGGAAAGCGCCCAGTTTAGTTTGTGCACAGACAGGGCACGAGCCAGCGAGATCCAGGTGAGCACAACACAGGTGCTTCCTGCTGCTGCTGCTGGAAATGACAGGCTGAGCACCAAGAAAAGGGACTCGCAGTGACCTGGAGGGTTGGGAGCCCTCCCAAACACACATCTGCCAGGACCTCAGCAGGTGTTCCTGTCTGCAAGCAGGGCTGCACCTCCCACAGTGCTGCAGCCGGTTGTCACCACCCAAATCAGCGCAGCTAACGAGGGCTCCTCGTTTCCCTTTGCCCTGTGGCAGCGTTTCCCCTTGCCCATGCAGACACAGGAGCAGAGGGGTGGGAGACAGCTCCTGCACGCTCCCTGCTCCCCCAGGTGTTGGGAACATCTGGAGTGACCCCTTTTCTCTGTTCCGCAGTGGGATTCCATCAATGAAATGGATGAGTTTTTCAGCCCCATCCACACCTACCAGGTGTGTAACGTCATGACCCCCAACCAGAACAACTGGCTCCGCACCAACTGGGTCCAGCGGGACGGGGCGCGGCGCGTCTACGCGGAGATCAAATTCACGTTGAGGGACTGTAACAGCATGCCAGGTGTGCTGGGCACCTGCAAGGAGACCTTCAACCTCTACTACATGGAGTCTGACCGGGATCTGGGCACCAGCACCCGGGAGAGCCAGTTCCTGAAGATCGACACCATCGCAGCAGATGAGAGCTTCACCAACGTGGACCTGGGCGTGCGGCGCCTGAAGCTGAACACGGAGGTGCGGGGTGTGGGGCCGCTGAGCAAGAGGGGATTCTACCTGGCCTTCCAGGACATTGGGGCCTGCATTGCCATCGTCTCGGTGCGGGTGTACTACAAGAAGTGCCCGGCTACGGTGAGGAACCTGGCGTCCTTCTCCGAGGCGGTGACCGGGGCGGACTCGTCCTCCTTGGTGGAAGTGCGGGGAGAGTGCGTGGGCCATTCGGAGGAGAGGGACACCCCCAAAATGTACTGCAGTGCCGAGGGAGAGTGGCTGGTGCCCATTGGGAAGTGTGTGTGCAGTGCTGGCTACGAAGAGCAGCGCGATTCCTGCATGGGTGAGTCCCTACTTCTTGCCTGCAGTGCCTGCAAGGGGAGGGGTGGCTGCAAGGGGCTCTTGTCTCTTTGGGGAAGGGCTGAAGACAGCAGCCTGCTCACAGAAACTGGGACAGGCAGTCTCTGTGGAGGTCCAGGGCTGTCCATGCCTTTGCTGGCTGGCTTCATGCTTCCAAAATGTGTGGCTGGTACCACTGACAAACTCCCTGGGAGTTCCTGTGGCTCTGACAGGGGCACAGGGCATGGCTTTGGGATGGGGACAGGCTGGCATCAGGACAGGGGCTGCTCTGGCTCCATCTTTCTGTGCCGTGGATCACTGGCCCAGAGACCCCAGCTCAGTGCCCCCAGCAGCTCTGACTGGTGCTGAGATCTCTGATGTGCTCCAGCAAGGCGCTCCCTGGCCTCTCCAAAACACCCGCCGCTGGAAGGGGTTTAAAAGGGAGGAAAGCAAAACCAAAACCACTGAGCTTTCACAGAACAAGGTCGTTGTGGCCATCCCTCACCTCCCAGGGCTGCTGCAGAGCCCCTCATCCGGGGATGTGGGGAGCCTTCCCAGGGGCCCTCAGTGCCACTGGGCAGCTTGGAGCTGCCGACTGAACAAACTGAGATAAGGAAATGGGGTGACCAGCAGCAGGCACAGGGATGTGTGTATACAGAGCACAGGCTCCCCAGGAGAGCCCTCCACACAGATTTGTTTGCTCTCTGTTTCTTCCTGGGATGTGTTGAGGGGGAGCAGCACAAATACGAGTGCGGGGCCTTTGTTTGAGTTTCGTGGCAACGTCAAGCGGAGAATTTGTCTTAGGGAGACTCGACTCAAGGTTAGGATGTCCGACACCAGACTGGGGTGGATCCAGGGGCTGCTGGGACCCACGCTGGCTCCTGCAGGTCTCCAGCTACAGAGTGGGAAGGATGGGCAGAATAAATGCTTTTATGTGAAACTCCACCTGTCTGTGACAGCGGATTTGAAAGTTGTCCTGGGATAGACCTAATGACTCAGAAAATGTCTTCCATCATGTCAAAGAGTGGATGCAAGGTGTATGTGGGGCCACATACTGGAGGAGGGGGCACTGGCATGGGCCTCCTGGCTGGCTGTGCCAGCCCCACCGCTGCAAGTTGTCTCAGACAGACCAAACAGCCCTTCCTTGTGCTCCCCTCCAGCAGCCCTGTACTGCACACTCTGCCCCAAGACATCCCCACCCCAAAGGCAGGAGGCTGAGCAAGGCTGTGGTGCTGGTGCTGGGCTCTGCCTGCCTCATTTTCATGTGATTATTTGTATGGGTTTGTTCTCTCCTGGTGCTGGGCTCTGCCTGCCTCATTTTCATGGGATTCCTTGGATGGGTTTGCTCTCTCCTGGCACTGAAGCCGTGGCAGAGCCCCTTTTCTGCCCTCCTGCCCATTTCTGGTGGAATTGCTCCTACCACAGGCAGGACAAAGCGTGGTCCTGCATGTGTCCCCAGGAGGTCCTGCAGATGGACTCAAACCCAGCAACACTCTGGCATCTCCAAGCCCTGTGGCATCAGAAGCAGGACAGAAATGTCACTGGAATTCCTCTGACCTGAGTGTTGTCTCACTCTCCTGCCTTCCCTGCTCCACTTTTCTGGCTCCAGCCCAGCTTGATGACCCGACATGGAGTGAACAGGGGCAGCACCTCCTCTCCTGCATCTCCTTTGGTGGGGCAGCAGGACATTTATTTACACATGAAGGCAAACAGATGCAAATCTCTGATCTTGTGCCTGATTGGGGCAGAGTTCATTTTTCAGGCTCAAAAGCGCCTTTTGGGGATGATTTATAAGCCCAGAGGATCTGCTGGAGTTGGAAATTAGCCGTTTTAATTGTCAGGGGGACAAAAGCGGGATTCCAGTGGCTGTCACCCCAGCAATTTTTCATTCTTGGTCACAGGGATGAGATGATATAAATCACTCCTTGTGGCCCTAATAATCTTTCTATAAATATCAGGGAAATTCATTTTTTTGCTTGGGGAGAGGAGGTGTGCAGGGGGAGAAATTAGAGAAGATACTTTGCCTCTATGGCAGTGTTTAAAATATGATTCCAAATTAATTTCCTTCTGCCTTTCACAGCCGGACGCCTTATTTGTCAAAGCTAAAGATATTTGAACAGTGGAGGTTTCTCGCCCTCCTCTTTAACATTCATTTTTCTAAGGGCCTGCCAGAGTGATGGAAGACAGCTCAGGAAACCAGACCATGGCCAGAGCTGTTCCCAGCCCTTCAGAGGAGAAGTAAGGCAGTACCACAGACCTGGGAAGGAAGGGGTGAGGTTGGACATGGTGGAGGATGTGTAGGAACACCAGGAACTTCTTTGCCTCTCATCCCCATTACAGAACTGTAGAATCCCAAACTGGTTTGGGTTGAAAGGGATGTAAAAGCTTATCCTATTCCACCCTCTGCCATGGGCAGGGACAGCTTCCACTTGACCAGGTTGCTCCAAGCCCCGTCCAACCTGGCCTTGGAGACTTGCAGAGATGGGGCTCTGCTGTCACCCATCCTGTTGGATCCTCTTTTGGGGCAGGGGGTGGTGGCTGGGGTCTCTGACAGGAAGATCCACACATTTCACCTTGCTTTGATGTCCTTTGTTTGCCATAAAGATGTGAGGGGCAGTTTCCATGGGATTGAGGGGGTCAGATCTCAGCCCAGGGGCTCTGGGATTAGGACCATTGCTGGTCTGGCATCCAGTGTGTCCCAGCCCTCCACACCAGACATTTGTCCCCATATCTGTGCCCAATGCTTCTGCCAGGTTCCTCTCCAGAGAGCTCACTTCTCCAGCTGGGACTGGGCTCATGTGCTACAGTACCTTTCTGGGAGGAAAAGGGATTTGAGCTGGAATTCCTACCTCTGTTGATGGAGTCTGCCAGCTCCTAACATTCCCAGCATTTAGTCCCACAGCATCTTGTTCCACAGCCACCCCAAGGATAAAACCCCTCCTGGCACAGCACAGCCCACTTGTTTTTCCCTCTGTTTTCAAGGTTCTGAAGGACTTTTCTTCCCTCACCCACAGCCCTGGACTGCTCTTTCCTCCTTGAAATGCAACAGTCCACACATGGCACGTTAACATCTCTTACACACAGCAAATAGCAACTGCTCTGCTTAAACAGCAGAATAAGCAAGAGCAGGAGGGAAAAAGGATCTGTCCTGGCAATTTATCAGATAAGGAGACAATCAGCATAATTCACCTTATTGATATGCAGCTGTTGTGCAGGACAAATAGAGACCCATTTCAATAAGGTCAGTGCAATTAGAGGGATGGGAAAGGGGAGCCTGGTTGTGCTGTGGGCAGGGAAGGGCACATAATCCACCTCCCCAAAGGCTGGGAGCTGGGACACGAGTACCCTGTCCTGTGTGTGGATGGATGGATGGATGGATGATGGATGGATGGATGGATGGATGATGGATGGATGATGGATGGATGGATGGATGGATGGATGATGGATGGATGGATGATGGAGGATGGATGGATGGATGATGGATGGA